GTGCCTTGCCACAATTCTGTCTCTGAGCTCCTTGGGCAGTTCCTTCGACATGATTCTCATTTGCTCTGACATGCACTGTGAGCTGTAAGGTCTTATATAGACAGGTGTGTGCCTTTCCTAATCAAGTCCAATCAGTTTAATAAAACACAGCTGGACTCCAATGAAGGAGTAGAACCATCTCAAGGAGGATCAGAAGAAATGGACAGCATGTGAGTTAAATATGAGTGTCACAGCAAAGGGTCTGAATACTTATGACCATCTGATATTTCAGTTTTTCTTTTTTAATAAATTTGCAAAAATTTCTACATTTGTTTTTTTCTGTCAAGATGAGGTGCTGAGTGTACATTAATGAGAAATAAAATGAACTTTTTTGATTTTAGCAAATGGCTGCAATGAAACAAAGAGTGAAAAATTTAAAGGGGTCTGAATACTTTCCATACCCACTGTATGTACATATATTACATGTGTGGCTCACAGTTCCAGAGTAAAGTACAGGAGAAAGTGGCCCATGGGCGAAAAAAGGAAACGGGAGATAATTTCTGCCGATAATGGTTCAGCCTTCAGGAGGATTTTATGTTTGTATGGAGGTCAAAAAAAAAGAAAAGAGCTCTGAGTTGGACTTGTTTTGTGTCTCATTATCATTCACAGTCAATGTAAGCTCATCTGCTCTTTGAACTTCCTTCAGATTTAGAGTTTGGATAGGAAGATCAGCCAAAGGGTCTTTGGATGGAAGCCATGGCCTAGTTCTAGCTGGGGACTTTTCCCAACCACACCTCCACATTCAGAATGAAGAAGTGATTAATTAACACATTGTGCCCTCAATAGGTAACCTAAACAGTTTACGCTCGCATAAATAAACTAATATCACAACAGCACTAAAGAGGAACAGTTGGAACTTCAAAGCCGGGGAAGAACCACAGATGGGGAAAACTAACTCGACGGGCTGGTGTGCTGTTTTTTTGACATTCCAGTTGGGAGTTGACTCCTGGAAACGGCCCCAGGGGACTTTGGCCCTCAGCCACGCACCTCAGGTGTCACGGCATGTCAGTCAGCCTTGGCCTCTGAATCATCCGACAAGCGCAGGCTCCTTATTGTGCCATTGGCTGTGGCCACGCCCACGCAAATACGTAACAAACAAATACACCAAAAAAGAAAAAGTGACAAATTCAATTCGTAGATAAACAGAAATTCCCGATTGATCAACAACAACAACAAAAAAGCTCCGATAAATACTTGTTCCAAAGAAGAGAATTGGTTAAATGTGAGTAAATTAATAAATGATGATAAATAGATGGGAGAAAAAACTATGAATACAATAAATAGCACAGGGGTGTAGCCAGAACTTCAGAATACTGAGGTCAAAGCCCCCTCAAATGATACATTCATTACTCTGGTAACGATACTTTCTGAAACCCTCAAATTCCTGGATATGAATTCCTTTATGAATTCTTTTGGTCCAATAGCATTCCAATTTAAATATATTTAGTGTAAAAACACTGGAATCAGCCATTAAAACACCAATTATAAGTATGTTTGTTAATCGCCTTAAGGTTGCTAAAATCCAGCGAGACCATGAATACATTACCTCAGTATCCAGAATGGTAACCTTAACTAATACAATAAAGAAAAGTCTCTACTGAATATGAATACATGTATGGTCATTAGTAATAAATACTGGCACACTATACCATGTCAAAGTATGGTATGGTATGTGGAAGAAAGACACAGTGTAGTATCCTAAACAATGTCAAAGTATAGTATAACGGAAAAAAGTTATGGTATAGTATGTTGAAAAGAGTCATAAAAAGGTTTTGTAGAGTATATAAAGTATAGTATGTTGAGAAAAATTAAAGAAAATCAGAGTATAGTCAGACAGAAAAATGTCATAGTATTATATGCTGAAAAAAAAATACAGAATATTTTGTAAGTAGGTGTAAATGCATAAATATACGAAATATGATAATACTGCCTTGCATTTAATATAAAGATTGAATATAAAAAGTTTGAATACAGATTTAAAAAAGTGTTGTTTGTCATTTTAAGTTGATAAAAAAAATAAACATGTCGATCAAATGCAAGCAAATGTTTTTTTTGAGTAAGGTTGTCTGTAAATCTACAAGAGGGGAAAAAAAGAGAAGTTGGTTACGAGAATAACAGCAGAAACGGGGAGAGATGTATACAAGCATTGCCTCCGGGCTACATGAAAAGCACCTATAAATCTCTGTCTCCCTCCCCGGCTGTGGGAGACACTCAGACCAAAATTACAAGTTCAGAGGGCTGCCGGAATTTCTTTGAAATTTCGGGGTTGCAGAGGCCGTGGCTATTTTTGTGCTACAACCTCTTCTACACAAACTGCCATGCAAGTTCATTTCATTGTTTGGAGAAAAGGACTTCTCTTGCAGGTTGTTACAGAGGAAGTTGACAGCATCGTGATGTTTTGATGTTAAGATTCCACAAACGCACGGAAAGCTCCCTGCAGGGTAGTCGCACGAGTTTTACACGGCTTCTTACTGTTTCCTTTCCACAGTGAAAGAGGAACCCGACGTGGAGGTTCGGATAGTCAATGGGAAGCCCAAAAAGGTGCGCAAGCCCCGGACCATCTACTCCAGCTACCAGCTGGCAGTGCTGCAGAGGAGATTCCAGACGGCTCAGTACCTGGCCCTGCCGGAGCGGGCCGAGCTGGCCGCACAGATGGGCCTCACACAGACACAGGTGAGGCCCCCAAGAGAAAAAGAAAGCGTGATATCTCACAGGCGTCAACACTGCAAACAAGTTCAAATGGGTTTTTTTGCATGTGAGATTTCGAATGTTAGTTGTGGAGTAAGTTGAAGCCCTCAAAAGTGTGTGAGCCGAAAGCAGTTTCAATTTCAAGTTTAGTTGTCAGATCGCTAGTAAGCAATGAAAGTAGCTGAACCGTCACTGGAAGCGTGAAAGATGAAAGCAAATTAAATGTCAGTTGAACTTATCAACTCGAAGCAACTCAAATTCCTGTTGAAGTTGAAGCCGTAGTTTACGTGCATTGAGAATAGTCGTCAGGTGATCTGTAAGGATTGATAGCACTTGAAATGTTGACAGCTAAAAAGTGAAGTAAGTCAAAGTGAGTAAGTGAAAGTAAGAAATAGTTGAAAACAGAAAGTTTAGTTGAAGTTGAAGTGGCTAACATAGTTGAAGTCTGTGCACTGAACGGTTTCTTGGTGAATGTACAGTATAAAGAAGGTTGAAGACGCGGTGGAAAGGTCCCAAGATTATGAGCAATGCAAGCTATAGCTTATGCTAAGATATCATTTTCAAGATCTAGTTTGACTGCAGAATAATGGAACATACTTAAAGATTCTCTTTACGCTATTCAAAGCATCAATACAGCATCAAATAACAATTCTTTTATGTGAAGATGTAGCTGCGTTTACAAAGCCGGGCCGGCCGCTAGTACATGTTAGTGCGCGACAGCGTGCGCCGCTGGCTAGCTCACGACCACCGCTCTGCACTGCGTTGGTGCGGCGGTTACAGCTGACAACGCTGCCCCGATCGACGGCGTCAGTGCAGAAGCGTAGCACCTACCCGTCCTACCCGGTTCCTCCCGAGGTTAACGCCGTTAACTTTGTCAGCACTGTTGCCGATGTTTGCACCGTTAGCTGCTAGCCGGCAGGCTCACAGAGAGGAGAGAACAGGTGTGCGATTGTAATGCTATGATTGTACTGTAGTTACTGAAAAAGTAAGGGGGGAGGGAGGGGGTCAAACGGTCAGCTTGTACTCCGAATTGGCCGAGCAAAATACAGGCTGAAAGTAGATGCCGATTTTTATAAATGTGGTGGAAAATGTCAATATTAACACCAGCATGGATGTGTTCCATCAAAGTACAGTTATATCATTTAGTTTATATCTTAACAAAACACGTTTAAGTGTGCAGTTACTTTTTATATACAATAAATGCCGGCTACTAAGAAACTAATGAATGAAACAAAGAACGAAATTGAGATAATATTAATATGATATCTAAAAAATATGAATACATTTGTCCGACAGTGATCCGAGGCAGCCTTGTGCGTTGTTTCTGTTGTGTCGGTCTTGTTTACGCAGTCATACTTTTGCGGCCTCAATGATTTACCACCGCATGAATCATCCCTCAGACTTGCGGTGCGGGTTGTGTTATCACGGCTGCTGTAAATCATTCTTCAAGATTATTGCTCGGGCTGCAGACACAAGCTCTAAGAAAACACAACACAACTTAAAACATCAGATTGCCATGTCATTGGATCTGTTGCCCTCATGGAGAGCTATTGTAATGCTGTCATTCGTATAAACAATTTATACAAATGACAGCATTGCATAAGCTCTCATTGTACCGTGATATCTCATTTAAAGGAGCTGTCATACTCTAGCCTAACATGAACTCTGCGGGCAAGAAACGGTTCTTAGATAATGCCTTGTGTTGCATGAACGCTGGTTTATCACTCGTGAAAAGCATTAATTATTAATTATTATTGTTATGAACAAACCTTTTTGAAAGGAAGTTTATTTTTGTGGCAACAACTCTTAAGTAGATCCAATTGAGAAGCAGTTTAAATGTAGGAATTTATCAGAAAACAAGTAGGGCAACAACATGGATTAATATTGCACCTGGTCGTGGATATCAATTTAATAAAGCAAGCCAACAGAACAGATTGCTGCCGTACTTGGTGGTACAGGAACAAGCTAAATCGACATCATCCTGCTGAATGTAAATCCATTATTCACGCTCTTCCACCTCCTGAGATAAATATCTGTGAGTTTAGCGGATAAATGCTCCGCCATGTTGCCACCAGCTAGCTGCAATCTGCCGTTTGGCGCTGGGCAGTTAGTACAGTGGGTTTACCAGAGCTTTTGCACTAAAAACAGCTGCACTAAAAACAGCTGCACTAAAAAAAGCAATGAGCTCTTAGCCAAAAAATAAGTTAAATATGCTTAAAGAGAAACATATTGATAATGTGGCTTTAAAGCTGCTCTAATCGATTTTTCGCCATTCAAAATGGATCAAATGACTATGCGGCTTTCAAAGCTCAACTCACAGAGAACTGTTTTTATGATTTGCAACTCTTTTGCTTTCGTTCATTTCCGACTCATCTGTTTCACCATCTCATATCCAGCCTCGACAGGCAGCTGTTTTTAGCAGAAACGAATCATAGTTGGACAGTAAGCCGCTAGAGTGGCAGATATTTCACCTTAAGGAGTTGGTGAAGACCAAACTGGCACTAACACACCAGTAAATATTGGCATTTCAATTAATATTGCTTCGCGTTTGTTCTTTAACTGCTTGAAGTTGTCTCACTATTTGATGCTCGTTCCTCCAGGTCAAAATTTGGTTCCAGAACCGTCGCTCCAAGTTCAAGAAGCTCTACAAGAACGGAGAGTTTCCGCTCGGGGAAATGCCTCTCGAGCAAAGTCCGGATGCCAGCGATTCCATGGCCTGCAACTCTCCTCCATCGCCAGCTGTGTGGGAAAACAACAACGGCAATACCAGCAACAACAACAACAACAACGACGACGACGGCAGCAGCAGCAACAACAACACAAGCAGCAGCAGCAGCATCAAGAGTAGCGCATTGGTGGATCCCACCACCAGAGGGCAGGGACCCTATCAGCCTCCCGTGGATCCCTCGCCCGCCTGCATGGGAGACTACACGCACCAGAACTGGTACCAGCAGCAGGGTGCACAATTAGGTCTGCAACAGTCGGGCCCGACGCACCACACACCACCGACGGCGCCGTCGGCCGCACAGAGTCTGGGAGCCGTCTACTGATGCTGAAACACGGGCTCTGTGCCACAGTTTGACTGGAGCCCTGCGCTCGAACACCTGTGGGGTTTAGTTTTTTTGGGGGGGATGATTCGAAGCGCTCTTTGGGAACAGAAACATCCGACAGTGATCATCAGACACGAGTCATAACTGTAACAACTCAGACACACGTGTTGTCACACACATGTTGGCCTCAGTTGCCCTGTTTTCCTCAGCTTTGAAGTTTAGGAACTCATATCAACTTCTGGAGATTAGCGGGTGACTGCTGTGTCCTTTTCCGCGCTGAGACAGATTTAGTTATTTGAAATTGCTGATAATACAATATTCATATTTTAAATATGACCATATTTATGCCAAAACAAGTCTCTCGTTCATTTCCTCTTCTGGAAAGGGACCTCTGACATAGAATTCTCCCCCTAAAACGGAATACTACCGACATCTTCCAGACTTTGCAGCAAATGAAAGCCCGCCCCAACAGCACGGCAAACTTCAAGATATGTTGGGCTTTACATGTACAGATCATGTTGAAGGCGGACAACACTGAAAGGCTGATCACCTTTTCAAATATAACATTGATATCAGCCAAACGCAGAAGACAGAATGAGAATTCTACCGCCTGTGCAGCTTATCATGGCGGATTATTGGAATCTGCCCGTAATTTATGTTTGATTGATTTATGTTCAGTGTCTCACTTTGCATTTCCCATTTTGAAAAAGAACGAGTAAAACTGAAGCCCCGCCGGCCGAGATATCCCGACCTTTATCCCTTCGTACGAGTCAAGCTCCGAAAATGCTGCATCCTACAACTCCCATAATGCAACGTAATGCGACCCTCAACCAAGTTGACCCTGATGACATCACTATGACGTCATCAGGGTAATTTGACAAAGCTCCTCCAGAGCCACAGAGGCCATCATACAGCAGTTTTCACAGGCTGAGCAGTGCTCTACTTCATGATAAGTAAAGTGATGGTCATGGATAAAACCCTAAGAAGGCTTTGACCGCTTATAAAAAACAATCAAGAGCAAAAGTGACGGCGAGTTGGTGCTAAAACATAAAAAAACAAGTTGTTTCTATTTTCTATTTTAAAACATGTGCTGTACTCAGGTTTTTTTTATTTATAGTGTCAACTGTAGAGCAAAGTTGGCACAGCAGTTTGTGCCTTAGGAGCTTTTTTTCAGTTAAAAAATAAAAATGCCTATGTTTGAATCAGCTACTAGTGTATTATTTTCAGCGTGTAGTTGCGTGTGCAGTACACACACACACAAAGGTGTTCAAAGTGTGCTGACGGGGCTTTGCTGGTCTGCCCGTCAGAGTGAGTCAGACAATAGATACAGGTTGCACCCATCTATATATTATAGACACACACACACACACACACACATACAGAGTGCGTGTAAAGGAGGTTGTGGGAGGTGACAGTGGAGCAGACACTCTGGAGTCTCTGGATACTAATAACACAGAGAGAGACGGGTGTACACTGCTTTCATGTGGCACACAGTTGGAGAGGGGAGGAGAGACGTGTGTGTGTGTGTGTGTGTGTGGTGTGTGCAACAAACAAGCTGCTCTGCAGGCTCTCAACCAACCAAACCCAAAGGTTAGCCAACAAAAAGAGGGCGTGATGAGGACTTATAGCATAGAGAAGGACACTTCTTGCGAACAATGTTAACAATGTAGTCTTATGTAAATATATGTTACAAGCTTAACAAGGTTACGTAAAAACAATGCGACGGAAAACAACGCTGCATAGAACAACGTTACGTAAAACAAAGTTACGGAAAACAACGTTACGGAAAATAAAATTACGGAAAATAAAGTTACGGAAAACAAGGTTACGGAAAATAAAGTTACGGAAAAGTACTGTGTTTGACACCCACACTTTCCTGCTGGTTATACGCGTTATTATGTCAAGTATTTCACTATAATGGTCGCGCGACATATTACGTCAATTGCTCTTCAAGTATTTCCTGCAGTAAGCAAGACATTGTGTGGTTCTTTTCTCCATAAACAGGACTGAAGAAAAATCGTGACTTTCAGTGGGGAACGTCCACGTTCTCATGTCGCGCTCCACCGTACCCACAAGTGTGCAGGGCGTGGGCCCTAAGCCACAGATCCACCGGGACACCTTCCGTGTTTGTTTAGGCCCTTACCTTCCTGTGCTGAGCCCTCAGCTTCCAGGTGTCAGAGAGGAATGTATCTGAACATCACAGGGAGACAGATGGAGAGGGCAAACAGGGACTTGTAGCGACTTGTTGACTGGTTCTCCTCAGGGGGGAGAGAAGCGGTTTTCACCAAAGCCATTGTGTTGGGTTTTTAACAGTACCTTATATTCATGTGACTAACAGCAATACAGTTCCAAAGACCAACCAGGTGGATTTGTGGCTTTTCATGTGTTATGTATTCTGTGTTTCTTCCCCCTTCTGCTCAAGCATGTATAGAGAAAACGAGTGCCCGATCGTTGCATATCACCCCGGATAGTTGGACCGAGCACTCTGAAGGTGAGCTGAGGTGACAGCTTTACACCTCCATCTCGTTGGCATTCACAGCCAGGCTTGGAGAGGGGGGGGAGGCGAGACGAGGTGATGACATCAGCTGCTATGAGCTGAACTCAGTGGCGGAAGGGAAGTTTATAACGTGAAAGAGTTGGAGCTGACGTTACTTTCCTCTCGCTGCCTCCGGCCATGAGCTGCACACACACCGCGCCCCCAGACCGATATGTGTTTTTATGAGAGCCGATTCCAAAGAAACATAAAAACATGCTGCTACAACCTGGCACATCTTACTGTTTCCAGATTGACGTTAACTTGACTTGACTCACAAAACAAGACACGAAGGACACTAATGACTCGGTACTCCTACATCTGCTATACTAAAGAAACAGTGTGTAACATTTAGGGGGATTCAAATATTCATAACTATATGTTCATCAGTGTATAATCACCTGAAAGTAAGTTGTGCTTTCATTAGCTTAGACCTAAGAGCTATTGATATCAACGTAGGAAGCGGGTCCTCTTCCACGGAGGACGCCATGTTGCACCGCCATGTTGCACCGCCATGTTTCTACAGCAGTCCAGAACCAGAACACCGGCTCTAGCTTGAGCCTTTAGCATTTGAGCTGAAAGTAAGTGACGGGTGCCGAAACCCGGTAAAATGAAAGGGGGAGTATTGATAAGCCCGACGTTACTGGTACTTTTTACAAGTATTTTTAATGTTAAAGTGTACTTTATTATCACGCCGCATCTCCTCTGCCCTCCCTGTCAGAGCCGAGCTCCTCCAAATACACATCAATTCATAGTCGGTTGCAATCTACGACTCACCACCAGATGTCACTAAATCTTACACGCCTATCCTTTAACAGAAGTATGCAGGCAATATATTAATAATAATAACTTTATTTTAGTGCTGGGCAAAGATTAAAATATTTAATCGCGATTAATCGCATGGATTTTTTGCGATTAATCGCGATTAATCGCATTGTTATGGCAAAGTTCAATAATGAATTCAAAAGTAGTGTATTGCGCACTTTTATTTAAAAAATACTGCTATATGAACAAAAGGCCAATAACATTTGGTTCACGAGATGCAGGGAGCATGTTTTATACTTAATGTGAATATAATTCATACTTTGTTGGCATCTTATTCTGAAAACCGGATGTTCGTCTGAAGAAACCGGATGTTGTCCCACGTTAATGTTTCCGCTAACTTTCAAAGTCCTTCGCTCGCTCCCGATCTGTGCCGTTTAAATGTGTTTACCGTGAATTTCAGCATATAGGTGCACTAAAATGTAAGTGTCTGCTGAGTTGACCACGGAGATCTGAGTGTCTGCTGACTTTACCGCAGCGATGTCCAGTAGTCTCCAGGGAGAGCAACAGCTGGTGCAGCTTCTCTCTTTATTTCTGCCCGCCCACCCTCGACCAGAAGCGGAAGTCTCCTTTTCTCTACGGCAACCCTGAAGGGACATCATATCTCCAATACAAAACGATAAACATGAGACAGTCTGTTCTGGTAAAAATACTTACCTGTTTTTTGTTGTTGTTTTTAAATTATTATTATTATTATTTTTTTCCCATCTCAAAAGGCTCAAGGACATACACACATGTTCACACACACACGCACACACACACATACACATACAACTCACTATAGGATGTTTGCTGGCTTTTATCCCACTGTTCTTGTCACCCTCTTGTTGTTATGTATATGTATTATCTCTTGTCTTTCAATTAAAAAAAAAAAAAATTATAATACATTTAAAAAATGCGTTAACGCGCGATAAAATAATTGTCGGCATTAATTAATGAATGCGTTAACGCGAAATTAACGTGTTAACTTGCCCAGCACTACTTTATTTATACAGCACCTTTTAAAAACAGAGTTTACAAAGTGCTTTGACAGACAAAGCAGCAAAAGCAAGACAATAATAAACAGAAAGCTCAACAGTGAGGCTGAACAAAGCACGACAACTATGATAAAACTACAATAGATGAAACGGGGGGAAAAAACTGTTGAAACAATAAAAATACACTGAAAAATACATAAAATAATTTAGCAAAATCAACAAATGAAAAAAAGGAGTAAAGCAATGACATCACATATTCTCACACGTCCACTTGCCTGACTCGCAAACATTGCCGGCAGACGACGAGACTATATCGGTCTGACTCTGTTGCATTAGTGGATGACGCCAACCCCCACACACACACACACACACACAAAGGTCTGCAGTATCTCAGTTGCACTTCGAAACTAAGCGCCTATGTGTTTTCGCACCGCATGGGTCAAGTTTAACAAGCAAATATAAAGTGACCCCCAACTGTTTATGACTTGTTTTAATTAATGTGTTTTTTTCTCCATGTCTCCTCTCTCTCTCTCTCTCTCTCTCTCTCTCTCTCTCTCTCTCTCTCTCAATATGTCTCATTCTATGAATCTCTCTCTCTCTCTTTGCTTTCTACTCTATGGGGGTCACATGCTGTCATCTGCCCAGTAGCAAGTTGTGAAGTCTTCAGTTTTATAGTTTTCAAGTTTTTTCTCTTCCTCACGCAAGAGTCTTGCTCCTCCGTTTCCTATTCATCTTCCACATGCTTTGTGTTTATTCTTCCACAGTCTTACTCCGGACCTTTTAAATTTCCGTATTAGAAAGCATAGCTTATAGAAAACACAGTTTATGAACATATATATCTGATATATCGCTCTGCTATTAAAGAGTGATGGTCCGTGATGGTCCGTCTTGGAAAGTCTTAAAAAAGCATTTTATTTTGTTAAAAAAAAAAAAAGAAGGCCTTTACCTCTAAAATGCTTTTGTGTGATTGCGGGCTGTCAGAAAGTGTTACCTATAAACTAAAAGTGTGATTGCTGTGACAGTAGATTGTGCTGCAGGAGGCTGTTCCTCCTCCATCCTTCTTTTTGATGAGCTTCATGAAAGCTAACTTTAACTGTTATTGGCGCGATTGACGCAAATTCGCGCCAATCACGGTATCACTCCAGTCTCATCGCGTCTGTGCAAAGACGTTTGTACGTAATCTACTCGCGAGAATAATTCATGCTGCGTTTGGTGTGAACACGGCATAAGGCGGGAGAGGTGGTGCACGGTACCACGAGACATTAATAATTTTATGGTCTTCACCACCATATAGGACATAATTGTGTGTGTGTCAAACTCCAACACATGACAACTGTTAAGAGACCCTCAGCATCGTTTTTTTCATGACATGAGACCATTTTGTTACAAACATTTACCCATTAGAATTAATATGATAGCTTTGTTTGTGGTCTTGACATACAGTTGGTAACACATGGCAAAGTCAAACAGCTAATGTGCAGTATAGCTGCCTTAAAAACAAATGGAAGCAAAATGTTTCAAGTGGTAATTATTTAGAGATGGCTTTTTTTCTGTGCTTTGTATAGTTTTCTGGATTGCTAGGAATTTCATAATGTCTTGTTATTATCTTCCTGGTGGTGCTTTCCCTCCTATGACGGTCCATCTTGGCATTATCGGCTTTAGTCTGCAGAGGGCAGTATGCTTCGTCCTGCGGGCCTGTTGGGTTTATTTTGACATTCATTACATGGAGAAGCACTGAAAATGTTTGCTACCTCTCACTGTTACTTTGTGAGACAGTTTCCAAATTGGTTGTTCGGCTTCAAATGAAAGTGTTGTCAAACTTGGAAAACAGTTTGCAGCCATTGCAGCTAGAAACATTAGTAGGTAAATTGATGGCTGCTGCTGCTTTTAGTCTTCGACTTGCTTATGAAAGCAACGGTTTGTCTCGTACATTCTAACGTTGGTAATGGCCCAAATGCAACATCACACCACTGCAGTCATTCATTATATGCAGTTAAACATCTGCTTCAGGTGTCTTTTATCTCTTGTCATGCTTATCTTCCTAGTCTAAAACAAATTGGTGCTTCCTGATGCAGCTGAACTTTTGATGAAGACATCCTTCTTGAACTGACAGAGGCCAATCTAGACTTATACTCGACCGTACGTGACAGCATTTCAGATGAAGGTAGGTTTCCGTATAAAAATGTAGTGTAATCAATGCTCAGGGCTTTTCTGCTTCACAAATATGGTCAAGCTGAGACCTCTTTAAGTCCCTGACTGTCTTGACTAGTGGTGTAACGGACCACTATCGATCCTCGCAAATCCCTCCTCACGGTTTCGGCGCGCATGTGAACCGCAGATTAATTGCACAGTGTGAAATAAAGTTTTACTGACGATTGATATCCGGCAATGTTCAGTAAAATATGCGATCAGGACATCATTTATGCTTTTCTAGTCGCCGATCTCTGATAATGTTACATTGTAAACAACCAATCCGTGTTTAAGTCATAGACTATAAGAAGGTTTAAATTGACAGGACGATGTTGGTTGCTTATGCACAAACAACAGTTAGAAGTTTGGAGTACTCAACCTTCTTGGAGACTCTGGGTGGCGTTCTGGAAACGGTGCCAACTGCAGACTCTGTAGCTCTACCATAACAAACACCATGTCTGGGTGGTTTATAAGTGTACTTGGTACCAGAACACCCTCGGCCAAAGATCAATGATCAACTTTGTAGTGGAATTGTCAGAACTGCGGGCCCATGACTTGGACACTTGGGTGAAGAGAGGAGCAAAGCTGTCCACTGATCATCACCTG